TATCCTAAAGGTGAACTGGGAAAATTGGTCGGTTACAATGATGAACTGCGTTCCTACCGCATTCTCTCCGATAATGGAAAACTCGTAGAAACCAAATGTGTACAATTTTTGGATTACTCTCCGTCGAAAGAAATAAATGAAGACCTGGAGGATATCATCATTCTTGAAGATGACACTGTTGACTCTGGCTCATCCGATGAGGGCGAAAAATCCGATGAACCCTCAGAAGCCCAAAATCCGGTCATTGATCTCTCTGACACCGTGTCCATCGCGTCCTCAGAACCTGATGAATCCACCAATGACGACGATACCGATGTGGAATCCTCTCTTCTCCCTCAGCCTCGAACCCTGCGTGATCGAACTCAGAAAGTAAAGCCTGCCAAATATTCATATCTGACTGGCGATCCTACCTCATTCAAAATGGCCATGAAGTCTCAAAATCATGTGGAATGGGAGAAAGCTGCTGATGAAGAACTCGAAAACATAGAAGGACATGACGTTTGGGACGATTACTTCAATCAACCATCGTCATTCTTGAGGACTCTGTGGATCTTCAAAACAAAACCGTCCACTCTTTCTTCCGCGGAAAGAAAGAAAGCACGCCTGTGCATACAAGGCTTCATGCAAGTTCCTGGCCAAGACTTTGGTGAAACTTTTGCCCCTACCGGGAAATTCACTTCCCTTCTCATTCTTCTTACCTTTGCTGTCGACAACAAACTTTCCATTCGCCAATTTGATGTAAAGAGTGCTTTTCTCTTTGCTCCTCTGGAAGAAGAAATTTACATCAAGACTCCTGAAGGCTCTAAGAGGAAGGCTCCCTTCCTAAAGCTCAAAAAATCTCTCTATGGTCTGAAGCAAGCTCCCATGAACTGGTACAACACTCTCATATCCTGGTTCAATGAAATCAACTTCCAACAGTCGGCCGCGGATCCGTGTGTCTTCATCAATGAAAAACAAAAATCCTATCTATTTTTTCACGTAGATGACCTTGTAGTGGTAGGCGATGTTGACTCCTTTGAATCTCTCTTCCTGAAAAGATTCCCAAACTCCTCCGCGCATGATCCTGACACTCTCCTTGGTATGGATCTGACTCAAGAAAACAACTCTGTGAAGCTGTCTCAACGGAAACTTATTGAGAAAGGTCTAGAACTTGCTGGCATTCGTGAATGCAGACCGGTGAAGACTCCTCTCTCAGTAGGCATTCAACTCCAACCAGCAACTCAGACTGAAATTGATGAATTCCAAAAACTCAAGATAAACTATCGCTCACACACCGGAATACTCAACTACCTTTCGTGCAGAACTCGCCCTGACTTAGCTCCTGCTGTCTCTATACTTTCAAGCTTCAACAACGCTCCTGGAATCCAACACTGGCGCCAGATCATTCATTGCTGGAAATACCTGGCCGGAACCATTGACCTATCTCTCACCCTTCGCCCCAATCCTGAAGACTCGTCCAACTCCATTCAACATTTCACTGATGCAACTTGGGCGGATGACCTTGAAACACGACTGTCCAGAAGTGGCTCAATCTGCTTCTGGAAAGCCTGTCCTGTATCCTGGAACAGCAAAAAACAACGCAATTTAACCCTCTCGTCCACCGAAGCTGAATTGAACGCATTGTCTGATGGTGTACAGGAGAATCAGTGGATCAAGTTTCTAATTGAAGAACTATACGACAAAAAGCTCAATCCGACCAAATTTCACATAGACAATCAGGGACTTCTTGAAAAAATCAAAAACTTCGGCTCTAACTCAAAAACAAAGCATTTAGACATCAAGATGAAATGGCTACGCGACTTGTACAACAAGAAAGAAATTGAAGTCAAACTCATACCATCTGAAGAAATGACAGCCGACTCTCTCACTAAAGCTAGCTCCTCTGAGTCTCTCTCTCAGCTGAAAGAAAAATGTTTCCTAGTAGAAGTCATTTTCTCATCAAATTGAGGGGGGTGTTGAAATCCTCGTGATCCTACTGTGAAATCTCATCTCCTCCAGAACTCCGCAGCACAACTCAAATTATCATCTCCTGAAACCTAACTCATTCTCTTCTCAAAAAACCTAACTCACGACACCATCTTTCCAGTCACCGGGAATTCTTCATCTCGTTCACTCACCTCCGGCCGTCCCTCTCGCCATCCGTTCCCTACTCGCCACTCTCCAAAAATCCTTCCCTCACAAATCAACTCGTACCTATCTACATATTATCTTCCTGTCCCTTTACCCTTACCTCAAACCTTTCAGTCGACCTCTTCTGAATTCTACTTCAACCTCTCCGTCAATCATCAACTCTACACTCCTACACTCCTCAACCTCGTCATCTATTGGATCACTGTAGTATCCACTTTGGTGAGAAAATAACATCAACAACTTATCTCAATCGTCGACCTCAACTAACCCTTTCCTTTATATTCTTAGTCTTGTGTCTTGTCAAATCCTCTGTCTTGTCTTCCTCTACTCAGTTGTTTCTCATATAAGATCTTTCTTCTGTTGTGGTAAACTATTTCTCTGTTTTTTAATGTCTTTTATTTTCTCTTGATTGTGTTTCTAACCTTCCTTTCTCTTCAGTCTGGTTTGGTTTTTTAGTAATAAAACTCTCAAGTTTTCACACTTCATGTGCCATCTGTAACTATGTCTTGTACCACTTGTTATGGGATAAGCTCAATTTCAGCTTGATTGGCATTCCTCACTTTCTATCCAAAGGATGGATAATTAATAGCAACAAAGATTACAAAACAAATATGGGCAATAGGTCATATGGTCACATATGTGACAAAGTTAGTCGCGGCATTTTTGGTTGGATGAGCCAAGAGTAATGGACAGGATAGAGGGAATTACCAATGAAAAGCCACAAACTGTACCAGATTTCAGGCTAAAATTTGTTCTTTGCTCATCAGCCCCTCTTTCACAGGCTCGCTTTGCGAGTTGTCTCTGGCCCTCTGTTGAGCTAGGCTTTGGACACTGTTTTTTTTTCCAACCAAGACTGAAAGCTTTCTCAGTTTGGCTGTAGGCTGCCAGCTTCCTCTCTACCATTGAGACTGTACAGTCTCAATGGCTGGGAGGATTATTGAGACTGTAAAATATTGATGTCCAGGAGGAATACTCCTCCGAGTCCCAGCCATGAAGGATGTACAGTCTCAGATCCATGGCCATCTGTTGGCTGATTCAAGCAAGATACTCTAGAGTTTCTTGCTTAAATCAGCCACCCATCCTTTTGGTGGGCTTGGAGGGGCGGGACCAAAGTGAGTATTTGATTCCAATCTAGACAGGGAGAGGAGAATATCTGAATATATCTCTACTGCAATTAATGAAAACAGGGTACTGAGGAGAGAGTATAGAGCCAATTGATGAAATGGGGTTTATAGCTCATCAGCAAATTGTCAAATGATATTTTGGTACACACAAATCAAGAAAAGGAAGAAGAGAACTAGAGAAGAGAACTAGAGAAATAAACAAGAAATGAGAAGCTTTTAATTAACTAGCTCAGCAGTAAATGTTTGAATGATCTCTGCTGAACAAGGAAGGAGCTGGGTATTGAAATTATTGGAGGAGTTGGCAAGATAGATGATGAATTCAGGTTAATTAAAGTTTTATGAAACCTGGAGGAGCAGGTTTACAACTCTTGTAAGTAAATTATTTCAAAAGCCACAAGAAAAGTGAAGAAAGAATTGAGAGAGTCAAGGAGTATTTGGTCTAACATCCCTCTCATCTCCTTAGAAAACAGAGACTATCCTTTCCCCATCAAGTTAAGTATCTTTCCTTGAATCTCTCAATTTCTCAATACAATTGTGATGAATTATTTCATGATTGGTGATAGCGCCTGATGAAACTCAATTGAGGTGGTGGTTTTACAAAGTTGAGGACCAAATATTCCAAACAAGTCTGGGATGTTTAAGCATATTTGTCCCAATGGATTCTGATGAACTTATCCAAATTATTTTTGACACAACCTCATTTTATCCACTCTCCATCTCCTCACCCCAACTTAATCAAATTTCACCAAACCATAATTAGGCCCTGTTTGGACAACATTGCTATGTGTAATGAAGTTGAAAGTTGAGTGTGGGATTGTGCTATATATAATTTTATTGATATATATATGTATATCTTTCAATCTAGTGCTGAACATATGAAACAGGGCATCCAAACAGGGCCTGATTTACAATTATCTTACAAAAAAACTTTTTTTTCTAAAATCTTTCTCCTGCCCTGCATGTGACAGGTAATTCAGGCTTGTTTGGGATGTTTTTGCCTTTTGCTACAAGCCTATCTTCTTTCAAAACAAATTAATAAAATTTGAATACAAAATGACTATCTCAAGATTTGAGTTGTGAAACACCACACTTGGACAGCTGGGGGAACTTGTTCCATATCTGTCCTAGGGAATTTTCTGAGGTACAATTCTGACATTCGTACCATACAACTTCAAGGAATAATCTGGAGTGATAAATGTAGTAGGCTTTGGGGTAGCCACATGCCATTTTGCCACAACAATGTAAACATACATAAACATATCTGACCAGTATAGATATGAAAAATTTAGTGTTGATGATAACAGTGAACACCTTGTAAGTTGTTGTACTAATGTAGGGAGTTTCATCAAATGCGGATTTTTTATAGGTGGAATTAATCTGGCCCTTGACACATCTGCATAAGATCCCTGAAATGATCTGTCATTATCTCTTTGTGTTGCTTGAATCGTTCACATACCAATCCAGTTGTTCTGGGTGCTAGACACAAGCACAAGGAGCTACTTGTAAAATTGAACTCTTACACTTATCAGATTCACTTTGCCCAGTCCCTGTACATTCTCAAAGGAATGTTGCCGATACTTTTAATTTTTCACCTGGTTAGGATGTTTCTTTGGTGGGAATATAGGGTGAACTCATGAAAGGCTTTGTGAAGCTAATTTCTCTATAACTATTCTTTGCAAAAAGTGTTTTCAGGTAGTGCGTCAATCTTCTGCAGCCGAATTCAGTGCTGTTGGTTTCTCACATGAAATGAATGAAGGACTAACAGTGGAATGTACATTGGAGTCTCATAAGCCTTCACGGGGCGTTTGGAACCCAAGGGCAAATTTCAAAACTGAGGAACAAGAAATTCAAGCTGCAATTGAAGAATCGTTGAAAACCAGTAAGTTTTCACCAACCCGTGGACTCCGTTCCCAGCAATCACACTCAGAAGATGAGGCTAACCCGTCGCCGTCAATGTCTCCGCCTCCGCCTGGGCCAGCTCCTTCCCATTCTCTTCCGTCCCGCCCAGAGCTTACTCAGGATCAGCCATGCACCTCTTCTCAAGATGCTATGGATGATTATCATCAAGGCTTTAGTGGCTTCCAAGAGCATGTAGGTCCCTCATCAAACCCAGGTAAAAGTTTTGAAACTGTAGTGCAAGAAATCCAAGCTGCAATTTTGGAGTCTTTGAAAGCCAATCAGCCTTCACCTGCCCGTCAAATCCATTCCCAACAATTAGAATTGGGAAATGAGGCTATTTCTCCGCCGCCAATTTCTCGCAGTAGTCGCGCTCCTTCCGGTTCCGGACCGGCTCCTTCCCATCCGCCTCCGCTCCGCCCGCCTCTACCCCACCCAGAGCCCGCTCAGGAGCCACCTACCTCTACTCAAGAGCCTATAGATGAATCTCATAAAGAGACCGGTGGCACTGGCATCCAAGAGCATGTCGGTCTCCAATCACACCCAAGTGCAAGTTTTGATACTGAGCAACAAGAAATGCAAGCTGTAATTGAAGAATCTTTGAAAACCAGCCAGCATCCACCTCCAGTCGGCAAAGGACTCGTCTCCCAAGGACCATCCTGCGTTGCATCACTCACAGGAGAAGGAAAAGGAACAGAAGAGGATTCTCGCGCATCCAACGCCTCTCCTCCTCACTCACCACCTTCAGACAGACCTGGCCACAAGCCTTCAGTCGACTACAGTTCACATCAGCCTTTGACAGACTATCTGGAAGGGTCTAGTGGGCACACTTCATCACGTCCAATGAACAAAAACAATGAAAATTTAACAGAGGATCAAGCTCTCTCTCATCCAAAACAAGCCTCGACACAGGAGGTATCCCAACTACCACCGCTTGATATGGCTAGAGGACATGATTCTGAGCCTCCATGGGTTCCATTGATTATAGGATTACACATTCTCTTGTTTTTTTGGATCAAAGGGTTTTTCGGTTGATCCGGCTCGGATTAGAAACAGCTCAGCATCAGCTGTTGCTCAGATCAATCTCACCAAATTATCCTTAATTCCCAAGCTGAATCATCCTCTCTGCATGATTTTTGTTCAAAATTCCTTAGATTTGGCCACATTGGAAACTTCAATATTTTATGCTTGTGCCATATGATAATTAGTTTGCTTTTATTTTTTATTTTTTTGATCAAAGGCTGTTTCCTCTTTTATTTTGTTTTTAAAAAATACATGGTAAGTGGCCTGAGCCTTTACAAGAGGCTGTACAAAACTTTCTTGAATCAACTCCGTAATTGATTATAGGATGTTGCTAAATACAACTTATATACTATTGGCCAGTTAAATTTATTTTTGGTCACATTTTTCCATAAGAAATAAAAGTAAACATGTCCAGTTTTCATAATCAAATCAATCCCAACATATAATTTTTTGTATTATTGATAAACAAGAAGAGCCCTAAATATTAATCTTCAGATGCCCACACAAGATCCGAAAGGTCAATCTGAAGACTATTGCAGATCCTCAATATTTGACTTTTGTAATACGAGGAGAGACTAGAGACAATCAATTTGATGAATTCAAGTTGCTTGTCTGCTTGACTGCTCACTGATGATGAATCCAATGGTCGTTTTGAGCTGAAGTTTGATCTGTTTTGGTGTTCCGATCTTTGATATATAAAGGTAGATAGACAAATAGCCACACCCAGAGAAAATTGATGAGTAATACGCCAAAGACTTCGCAGTAAAGAATGGATACCCTTAAATTGTTGTATCACATCAATTTTGTTAAACTTGGTCCTTTCCTGATCAGCGATTGGATCAAAAATCACCAACAACCGACCCATTGTAAACATTGCGGGGCCTAATAATTTTTGCTTAATTATTTCTTTACTATGAAAAAACTTGACGAGGCAACTGTGGATTGATAACTATGAGGGTTCATTGGGTATATTGATAAGATGAGAACAAAGAGAGTGGATGGAGCTTACCCAAATGACTTGTCCCGGCTGGATTTTTCTGGGACTCCCTGCTTTGCGCTTCTTGAGTCCACTTCTTGAGCCCATCACTACTTGTTGAGAAAAGACCAAGATCAGTCCTAGCAGGATTAAAACTAGCGATAAAGGCAGCGACGAGAATGAAGCGAGCGACCATGGGTAACAACGTCAACAGCGATTAAGTATCGAGTGTTTTCTGGGTTTGATACATCACTGGCCCTGTATCAATTAAAGATGTTAACTTGATGGTTGGAAACTCCGGTGCCATTGGTATTAAATGAGTTGTGAAGCGATATCGAGAACTTACTCAGAATGAAGGAGAGAAGATCGAGATATAATGGCGCGGCTTGGAAGGATTCGACAAAGGGGTTTGAGAGATCTGATTGACCTTCGTCGTAGAAGGTGAAAGTAGTAAGATTGATTTCTTTGGTGATGAAAGCTAATTTGGCTTCTTGGACGATCCACTGGACTCTTCATACGCAGTCATTTTATCGTCATCAGTTGCCCTCGCTGACGGGTCGTCTAGCCCTGGTCCCTAATTGGATTAGGAACGAAGGAAGATGCCGAACTGGGGAGCCGTACGCTTTCTGTTCAAGCTCATTGATCGGCTTGCTCAGTGCAAAGATCATTTTGGCCGTATCCTTGAAAGAGCCTAATTAAATATGCGGAGGCAATGTTCAATACAGATAATGGTGGTGATCAGTAAACGGTGAAAACTTGAGCAACATCATCGTTCAAGTTGGATGGAAATATAACTCTCCAGCCAATTTTGTCCACTCGCAATCCAGTCTGGGCACGATCGATCCACGAGAGTCGAAGCTCGTACGGGTCCGCCGAGGTCTAAGTTGAAACTAGCGGCCACGATGAACCTCACGAACGCGTGGAAACTAGTGATTCTCTAATTCCTGATCATAAATTTCAGTCACATCGGGGGGTCCACCATACGCGAGACCGACAAGCCCAATGATAGAGGGACAGGCCCGTCATCATCGATGAAGATGGCCGCATTGAGGTTGAGTTCCAAGACCCGGCCGATTTGCTTCTCTTTCACTACCTCTTGACCAAATCCCTCGATAAATCGTGTCCGCTGCACCCACGATTCCCGGATATTAACACGGTATAATCAGTAAGTGATGAGATTACAACAAAATTTCTTCACAGAGGCTCTGGGCCGGGCGTCACGGCCACCCAAGGACTCTTGTGGAATATTCGGCAACCCCCATACAAACGGGGGAAGTGATCTGTGCTTGTGGAGTGCTCAGCGGAGTCAAAATTGTTTTTGGTGTGGCAGTATATTGCTTGTCAATACCAATTTGTTGACGTTTCTTAAGATTCCTCTAGTATCTGTCATGCATCATCAACCTCGACCAAGCTTGACTTGAAAAGCTGCAGTTGTTTCACAAGAACAAACCATCCAGTGCCCAATGCAACAACTTTGGAGTGACAAAAATAAATGAATGGGGCCGGTGAGACCAACAGTTTGGTTGAGACCACACTCACCAGTTAACTTGACCATGACGTCACAATTCCCTGTATGCGTCACACTCGATAGTGATACATATGAGGGTAAATATTTGATTTTGAAAACCTATTTTTGACGCACACCTCGGAAGACTTATCCAGCTGTATTACAGCTGCACCAACCCCAAGAAATTCATCCTACACAACTATTTATAATTTCCTTCTACTCTGGCTGAAGCTCGGTATATGTCTGTTGAGGGATCTCAAAGAGAGTATGTGTTACAGTTTTGCACAACTGTTTGCATACCTCAGCTGGTGTAGTGGCATGGCCCCATGCTATAAAGGAGAGTTGGTAATTATTGACCCGCGAGGCAACAACTAGATGCTCATTTCGAGTTAGACTGAGCCTTATAACAATTAATTGTGCTTCACTTTTACCCGTTGCGATTTACCATACTCTTGATGTCTGGAAATTGGCGTTGTCTGTCCGTTCTTGTTCTGCTCGCCTGTCGAGTACAATGCATGCTCCGCCCTTCACCGATTCCCGAGCACGTATGGCATGGCCCTCAACAAGCCTCGTATCCTCAAGCTTTTCAAGAGACCTCTGGGCCGGGAGGAGAGATGGGCATGTTGATCACATCCGACCAATCACATCATCAATTCATGGGCGCAGCAGGTCCAGCTTCAAGCATGTTTTCACACACAGCGCCTGCGCCTGCTGTCTTTTACCCGCCGTATAACATGCAACAAGGAGCACACCTGAGTGATACTCCCTTATACCCAACTGCCTTCATCAGTCCTACCTCTCCACCGCTCCAATCCCTAGGTCATGATATCCCTCCCTATCAACATGTGCCTCAGCGCATTCTTCCTGAGCAGCATTCATCTACCGCACAAAGCTCACAGCTTCCGGGCCCAAGGCCAAAAACGAAAGGTAGAAATTCAAATAGTCAAATGACGCCGTCTAGCCCGCAGAAGATAGCAGATACTCCTGTGTCCAAATCGCGCCTTAACCCCCACGCAACGCCGTTTACACCACCGCATAAATTAGGGTCAAAGTAAGCATGGGAACTGAAAATCTGAACACTTTATGAAAACTTCTTCGTCTGACATTATTGTTTTACCCATGCTTCACTATTTTTCAAACAGGCAAAAAGATCATAGCAAGATTGCCTCAACAGAAGAAAAAGATGAGGGCCCAGTTGAACATGAATCTGGTGAAGATGGATGTCCTACCGAGCCATTGACCAGTACAGCGAATGATTCTTCTCAACCCGAATTTCAGACAAACAAACTTGAATCAGCTTTGCAAAGCCCTTCACAGACCGGTGAAGTTTCTGACCATTCTTTCGGTCACCATCGTGAAGGAAAACTGGATTTAGACGGCATGCAGCAAACTAAGCAATCAACAGCTGAAATAGAAAAAGATGATATAGCTGAAGGGACAGCCTATCTCAGGAACGTCTTCAACATTCAGTCTCCTACCGCTGATGAGAGCGAATCGCAAAAAAATGTGGTGGTTCGGGTGAGTTTCCAATATCACACATTTTTGGTTCCGAAGACTTTTATTTCTCGAAACGTCACTTGAACTTATGAAAACCTTGCATCGGCGCGTTATCTTTGACTTCCTTCTCCATATAATGCGATGGATGTGTGATGTAAAATTAAGACTAAAGATAGTACAGCTATCACGTTGGGTGAAAATGGATTACAAGGAGACATTAATAGAGAAACAAAAGTACCTGCGAATTCGATCGAACCGCATTCATCTTCGATATTGTTGCCAGCGTCAATGGGTCAAGATGGGTTGAGTACGAAAAAATATGAACAGGATTTTCCGTCCTTGCTGTTCTCAAGTGAAAAAAACCATCCTGCAAGAGCCACGACAAGTTCAAGACCTCCCAATCCAAATCATAAAGTCGGTAGGATCCCTCAAAGAGAGAGGAAGGTCAAAAATGAAACACCATCTGTCTCTCGATCTATAAACAGAACTGATGGAAAATCAAGAGAAACCGGTCACTTCTCCAGAGAAACCATCTCCTTTCTGGACGAAAAAAGCAAGCAACTACGGGAAAAGACAAAGGCTCTTGCTGGTGAAAGAGAGCCTTCTATTGATTCCGTATCAACTGAAAAAGGGGTAGTTTCGTTAATTTCCAAGAGGAAACCAAATGTGCCACCTATAAAAAGCGGTGTGAAGGAGGTGAAATTTGAAAAAACCAGTCCATTATCAACAGAGCTTGGGGGAAATACAAATGTTAGAGTTTCTTTCCCATCAAAATCTGAAAAACTGAATGATGAACTTGTGGCTAGTAAGATAATAAATGCCGGAGAAACAAGTCACAGCCCCACATCAGCGGCTCAAGTTGACTTACAATCCGAAATTTTTCCAAAGACCATGGTTAGTGATATTGAAAAATCTAGTACAAAACCAATTATAGCAATCATGGGTGATAAAACCAATGCCAGCCCCACCACACAAGTAATAGAACCCCCTCTTCAGAGTGTCATTCCCAAGAAGAAAATGACCCACAAAAAGAAAAAGTTTCAAAAACCCAAAAACAAAATTGGTAATGAAAATAATAAGTCAGGACTGCCCCTAAACTCACCACAAAAGTCCTCAGAATCACAAAATGCTCTCAAGGATCCTAATGCAATAGAGGGTTCTTTTGCTCATGATGATGTTTCAAAAAAACAAAATTCTCAACTCTCCTCAAACTCAGATCAATCTAATGGTGAAGGTGAACATTCACCCCAGTCAAAATCACCCCTCCAAGAAGAACCACTTCCAAACTCAGAGCAGCATGGTACAACAGACCAATTATTTTCCCAAGCTGGTCCAGAAATCAAATCCAAAACAACCACCAGAAACTACCAAAAGATGAAACAAACTTTATTGAATAAAGATATAGTAGATAAGATAAATGTTGATGAAGTTCTATCACTTGAAGATACATTTTATATTCCATTTGAAGAAGAGTTGCAGAAATCAAATGGGAAAAGCCGATACGAGTGGATGACAAAAAAGGGAAAATTGGTTGAGGGAATGAAAGCTCAAGATTTCCAGGAAGCCTGTCGGATATTTGGTGAAGAAAGGGCCGCAAAGATTGCCGCAGCAGATGTGAATCTGCGCATTGCCAATTATATGGGTCCTTTATATGTAGCATTATCCGATGATAAATTGCAGCTCATCTTAAGCAGTTCCTTCCACAATGGCGCGTTTGAAGTGCTTGAATATTATTGGGAGAATCACCCCAAAGAATTCCAAAAGGTTGAATCAAGTATTGCAGAAACATTTGAACGTTTCGAAGGTGCAAGACGCGTCATAACCGCCCGGAAACTTTTACAGAAACATGTCCTTGCAGATAATTGGTTGGAATTCCGGGAAGACGCTCTAGAAAACCGGAAACTCTCGGAATACCAATTGAGGGGACTAGAATCAGCCTGGAGAATCTCGATCAACCCAGCTGAGATCAAAAATATTAGGGATCCTTTCGGCGATCAAAACGTGAAAATAGAAGTTTTGATAGGGCGAAAAGAATATATGAGGTGGAAAGCATTAGAAAAATACTTAATAGGAAGGCGCGACTTGGTAGAATGGTGGGTCAACGAACCGTTTAGCCTTGAAAACGAAAGCCTCAAGTTCGGTTTGGACGTTACGACGATCTTGCAAGTAGGCGACGCGCTTCAATTTGGTCACAACGGCTGGAGTCACCTAAGGAAAAGCAATGACCGTATTGATTCAGAATATGCGAATCTACTGAACATTGTTTTGAATGAAAAGGGAATGCTTCCGTGGCCTGAATCAGCCGAACGAATTTGGTTAGCTCGTTTGCCTGAAGATCTGTACCGACAACGATTCCAAGAGATTAGTCGTTACATCTGGACTTCAGAGGAACCGAAGAAAGGCTCGGTCAAGGTTGAGTCATTCCCGAAATCCAAAAATGTCCTTCTGGAGCACCTCAATCATAAACTGGTCAATTCCCAAGACTCCCACCTATGGTTTGAGTTACTTCGATCACTGTGTAATGATCATGAACATATTGATTTGGAAGGATTCTTGAGGAAGATGAAGGTTTGGAAGGCGCCTTATTATAAGTTTCACTCTCAAATTCATCTGACAGACGACGAGAAGAGTGCCCTGGTCGCTTGGCTCACGAAAATACCCAGATACAATCCTGCATCCAAATCTAACGTTCGATCATTAGCAAGAATCAAACACATTTTCCCCTCAATCTTTTAAAATTTCCCAGTCGGAGATCTAAAGCATACCTGAAATCCGACATTTCCCTGCAACAAGAAACTGGTCCTGAAAGTACCTCTTTACAGTACTGAAACCTTATAAAAAAATTGAATTTCCAGCTGATGCCCATCAAGATATTCCACATTTTGATCACTCATCTCTAATCTATCAATTTTGAAATACCTCATTCCCCTCATTAATTCTCATTTAAGAAAAATAAAAAAGAGGAAAAAATATATCAAAAGATATAAAGATTAACAAAAGCTGAAGTGCAAGTCTATCAATACTCAAGTCATTATGAAGTCTATCAAAGATTGTTCTTCTTTGTCTCTAATTATGTTTATCAAAAATACATATTTTTTTCAGTTTTCCTTTCTCATCATTCTTGATTCTTCTACAAATGTTTGCAGGAAAAAATGAAGACAGCATTTTTTGGTTGTTTCCTTTTTTTTTTTTTTTGTCAATTAAAGGTCATATGATTTTGTTTCTTTACTCTCAACAGTGAACACAATAATCCACCAGGAATAACATTTGAGGGTATTTGAGGGTGATGGGTGAAATAGAGTGATTACACCTATCAAACCTCCAGTAGTGTTGCACACTGTATACTATGGCAACACTTCCCCCAAAAAGCAATGAACCTGTCTCCTTCCATAGGAAAAAAAAAAAAAAAAAAACATCAAAGGGGCTATAATGAGATTCTTGAGATTTCTTGCTATGTGTGATTGGCCAGGATATATATACATATAAGTATTTGGGTGGGTATTTACATATAAGAAAGTCATGGCCAATATATAGAGAAGCAAAACAAAGCAAAGCAGTCACAACAAATATCAAGAAGACAAAAAAGAAAGAAAGAAACCTGATTATGTATGTAAATGCAAATGCGTGTGTGTTTGATACAGATGAACCAACCAAAAAAAAACATAAACACTCCAAAGAAATAGAGGGGACAAACAAGAACAACAATAGATGATACAGCATGTCTTTAATAGAATGATTACCAAGGGGGAAAAAATAGTTGTAAGAAAAACAAGTCAGAGGGATAGATGGATGAAAGATCAAGGAAAGTGAGCTTTTTCACAGTTGATTGGAACAGACAAAAATGATCAAGGTATTGATATGAAAGGAGCAAACCAAATCCAACAAGAAGCAGGAAGAAAAGAAACAGCTAAAGTCCGTTGCATATGAGGGTATGAGAGTGGGCGTGAAACAAAGTATGGAAAACGAGGAAATGTTTTTTTGGGGGCGGGGGGCTAAGAACTAGTTAAGACTGGCGAGGGAGGTTGGCTTCCAGAAGCCTCATTAGTGGAGCCGACACTGGCAGTAGTTCTTATTTTTGTGGTCCCACCAGGTGAAGTAATAATTGAGGTGGTGACTGGCTCGGGATTGATTTGACGGGTCTCTGGAGATGGTGGCATCGAGGTCGAGAACTGGGTGGGTGGATCGGCTTTCTTGATCAGCCCTTCTGCCAATTTTTTATTTTTCATTAACTTGGGTTGATCGTAATAGTCAACCTATCGCCCCCGTACAAATCACATGAGTTTTTCAAAAAAAAAATGAATTGCTAGCATTGTCAGAAGCTGTAGAAGGAAGGAACGCAGAGGGATGTAAAGAAAAAAACCCCGCTTACAGTATGGCCCTCGGCATCCCTCCAAATGCCATCAGAGTTGACTTGGCCATAAAGTTGAGTGTTCTGGTTGGCGATCAAACATTTCATCCAATCCTGAACGATTTGAGGCGAGTCAATCATCACATTAATCTCTTGTGAATGAAACCAGGACTGGGTATCTTGGTTCCCGTTCCCTTGAATGCCAACTGAATCATCTACTGCCATGAATTTCACTGTTTGTTCCGCCACATTTATTGAGTCAAGGATTTGGTCAATGGTCTGCTGTTTTTAATGTCAATCTCCGAATAAATCTTACTCACCATGACAATTTCTTGATTTGAGAACTGCATTGATCGGTCTAATTTGATCTTTGCCTGTATACCTGTTTGAGAGAAAAGGATAAAGGTAAAACCCAAATTAGTGAATCACGAACCACTCGGAACAAAAAGATCCAAAACTCTCCCCCACTCGACAAAAAAAAAGTGCGTGAAGGACTGACCAATAAACCAATAAGTTTTTCTGACAATTGAATTTCTTGAGAGTTTTGTACATTTTGATAACAACTTCTTGATTAGTACCACCTTGAAACGGAATACTTTCGCCCTTGTCATTAAACCCTGTAAGAAGGAACAGATGAATACAATACCAAAATCAAAGATTGATAGAGTGTGACAAGCCAAGAAAAGTGGGAGGGGGAAAACGAACCGAGATCAAGGTAAAGGATAACAGAGACTCCACGTTTGGCAGTATCGACGCACATTTTAACGACAGGAGCAGAGTTGAGGGTGGGTGTCTGAATGAATACCTTTTTCTTAGCGTATTTGAACCCGGCCATCCACGCTGCGTTCTGGGGGACCCGGATGTCGTTATGACCGGGCAACCCATGTGGCGGCCGATTGACCATCACGATTGGAAACTCCGCGTGCTCTTCATGGATCATGTGCGGCTGGAAGTCGCCTATGTCATGATCTGGTGAAACGTTTGCATCCGCCTGACGTAATGTACCTACATTCTGTTGTTTTAAGGAAGAATAAGAGGAGAAAGAAAAAGGAAGAGCTCAAGATCTTGGGGTAATGTTGTTTTGGTGAAGGGAGCATCCTTACCAGTACATCTGAGAGCGCACTAATGTGAATCTTGCCGGGCGAAAACCGCACACTACGTCTTCGAGAAGAAGGCGAAGAAGAAGTTTCTGCCAATTCGATGTTAGCTGCACCGGTAGTGAGCGTACTTCCGTCACTGTGAACTCGAATGTGACGACTATTGAGATCGTTGTGAACGGCATGAGAATCAGAAAGTGGCGGTTTACTCAATGTAGATTGCGACTGACGAGCGCCCTCGTAGGACGAGGGATGCTCGGTGGATGTGATTTGACTGTCGGCAGTAATCTTACTTGCAACAGTGCTCATGGTTGTCGTATGCTCGTCTATCGATTCAATGACTGTCGAGGGAGATGCAAAGTCTTTGGGTCGATTTTGAGGATGTGAAGTGCCGACGAAAGAGGCGCGGATTTTAGGCAGCACTTGATGTGTAGTGGTGTTCTTCAATCGCCGCTGTTCCTCGATAAGCCTTTGCACCGCATTCGAGAATCGAACCGAAGGAGGTAGTGAAGGTCCCAACCTTGAGGACTCGTCAGGATGCGAGTGAGAAGGGTCTAAATTGTGCTGGTGGTGCGATCGACGCCGGTCTTCCATGAGATCTCTGACTACATTGCTGAATGTGGAATTCAATAATCCATCCTGATGTTGGTGAGCTGATGCGTTACGATCCGTCTCTGCTTCCCTGTGAAGTGTAGCTCGGGCATCTTGCGCAGACTTGACGACATCGATGTTGCGCAAGAATGCATTATTGGAAGCAAACCGATAGGTGTGAGGCTGAGAAGATGGCGTCTCGCCTATGAGGGGTAGAGGCGGATTCAGGCGGTTGTTCCATGAGATTAGAAACATATCGTAAAACGAGTCAACTATTCGCCCTTCTAAGTGAATCTGTTGACGTGGAAAAAAGTTTGACTCTTGATTAGTAGGTCATCAAAGAAGAGTAAGAGCCAAAAACCTCTCACCATCATTTCAAGATTGGGACGATCCTGAATATTGTTACTAGAATAAGAAGAAAATTTTCAAGATTTTAGGATCGAGTTGGACGAGGTAGTTGCGCTAAGAGACTACATACCTATTGAGCAGTGCTACGCTTCGATCAACGATTAGGAACTTGGAATGAAAGGTACCAAGCAGAACCCTATGGAAGTTCTGGAAAATTGTAGAATGAACAGTGATTAAAAATGCGATGAAGACGACTATGGAGCTATCCAGGATGCTGGTGATGAATATTGTACAGATGATTGAAGAGGATGACTAACGATAACCTCGAGTTCCAGGTTGGGAATTTTTTCTAAATCGGGCAGTCCTACTTCTTTCCATGGGGAACTATTAGGTTTGATAGATAAATGATTCTTGAAAACTTGTTTCCAATCCCCACGATCGTAAATGACTGTGTTAGAATTCGGCGGAAATAAAGTAGGGAAAGGGTTAGATTTTCAATTGTGTGATCCTTAGGTTCTCAGAGGGCCATAGTTATAGACACAGCATCGAGTTTATTTTCAGTCTCAAGATAGCCGTTCTGTCTCTGATTGTTTTGTTACTTGAAAGTTGGGAATCAACTGACGTTTGACAACAACTTTGTCTTTCTGTTGTCGGTCTCCGACGCGTTTTGAAAGCTCGATCAGTGCCTCACACAGGGTATTCTGGGAGTTGGATATTCTGAAATTGATTATCAAGAAAAAAAAAAACGTGTAGATCATTAATGCCTCGAAATTCGTGTGGAAAAGTAAGTCGAGGAAAACAAAGGACTCACTGTAGATAATTGGTGGCTATCAGTACTTCGTGCTTGGCCAGAACGATACAGTCATAGTAATGCTGCATGATATCACTACATGATCAAAAAAGGTGCAAATGAGTCGACATGTGTGAGGGATTGGAATATTGTGTTCGTCCAATCTACTAACGGGATGACGCTCAGGATGGTGAGAGGGATGATGCCACAGGTAGCGATGAGGGAGGGGGAGACGACGCCAGCGAGTTGATTCCTTTCTAGACAGAGCAGGACGTCGGAGAACATCTTGAGGAATAGGTCGGAGGGTCGGTTGGTAGTTCCGCTTTGAGTTGACCATCTTCCGGATTGATAGGCCAGTTGGATCTGTTCTGCTGATGGTTCGACTCGATGGTACAAGTCATCTTTGATTCTGAATCTTAACCAGATTCGTTTTGGTAGTGACGGTCGTGGGAATAGCTTCTTGGTGAGTCTGTATGGTGATTGGCTTGGATCTGATGCGAGTGCTGTAGTGATTGAGGGTGAGTTAAGGTTGAGATGGGTAGTGCTTGAGCCTTCTTCAGGGTTGGTTGTTGTTGTTGTCATGATACGCTGATATTGATTCTTCTTGAAGTCTCGTATGTAGTGGCAGTGGTAGTGGTGGTGGTGGTGGTTGATGTTGATGTTGATGTTGTACAGACACAGACAGAAGTAAATATGTGAAGAAGATGGTTGGCTTGATACACTTTTTATGTTGTATTTTCCTGTTGGGAGCTGTGTATGTTGGATGTATGCGCTTTCCCCTGTTGACCGTTTTGGTAAACTCGGATCATCGCAAATCTGTGAAAGATCAGACAACAGGAGCTGTGACATCCCCGTAGCATCAAACCACTCGCAGTCACAACTGGCTCATGTATCTGAGTCAGGGCAACTCTCTTCCCCCTTGGGCCTTCCGTCATCAAGCATCACCGGACTTGGAGGAGAGATCCATCGGTGAGACTTCCTTCTCACATCCACCCACTAACTCTCACTTCCATAGCGTAGTGTAATACCCAAGGCAAAAAAATAAACTTGTAGCATCAAGGAAAACCTCCATCAAGATTTGTTTTTGTTGTTGAGTAATCGTGACGCTTGAAATGTAACCCCTCCGGCGGAGTTGGCTGTCGGTAGCCGGAACAGCAGACCCGTCCATAGACATGACCATGTAAATAGGTGAAGATTGGGAAAACCGGGCCTTGATCTTTATTAGGCGGATTGACTCAACCGTCCTGTCCTGTGAAGCTCCTGGGCACAAGTTTTCATGGATCAACTCCAGTGGTCAGTGCCAATCTCATGAACACAGTCCGGGTGCGGCGGAGAGGTGTTAAGGAAGACCAGGGTGTTGAAGAATTCACGTTGAGAAGCAACTTGAAGTCGTGAAAATCAAATACTGCTCACATTGTATCCACCGGAATTGCAGTCACACAGGAATATGTATCAAACTTGATCCCAAATTCCAAAAGTCATAAACTTGAGATCAGTCATTTTGTCAATTTTCTCTCATTGATGATTATATTTTCCTTTGCCATTCTATATAATCTTTCATTGTATTTGGAAGAATCTTGAAACTCCTCATTCTTTGATTTTAATGGAAGTCTCTGAGCTACCTATGGATGTTTCTTCTTGGTTGTATTTGTACTTTGCCAGTTTCAGACACTCCAACTCAAGTGTGTGGGTTTGCCACAAATGTTTCCCCACTGGCACTGTACAGCCATAATTGAACCCCTCTATGCAATTTCAGCAGGCAGGGGTTCAGTCTTTTCTTCCAAGGGGCTGTGGATTATATACAGGTCAACAACAATTCCTCTGTAGGTTATTTTGACTTGTGCCTGTGTATGACTGTTGAGATGTTTTAGAATCTTTAATTTGGGAATGTAAAACTGCATGTTGGATTGTTGTGTTTAGACATCATTTGAGATTCAGCATCCATTCTTCCTACAATCTACATGGGGGAACATTTGACAGAGGTAATAGAAGATTATTTGAAAGCCTCAGATAGAGTGCAAGTTATTCAGAGCTTAATGAAATACTTTCCCTCAAGTCAAGCAGTGTATCAACTTGTGTGATTCCAAAACTGACGTTTGTCAGTTGTGCAGTTGAGCTACAGGTGTGCCATCTTTGCAATAACAGCTCATTTTATCTCAGGCGGCTCTTCAGACATGTGCTAAATCATAGAATCAAAGAGACAATGCAAAAGCATGTCACAAAAGGCCTTGCACATGAGGAAAAATTGTATCATTGTATGGATAGGTCAATTAACTTATGAGTTACAAATGGTTAGAGAGGGCCATGTGAGCTAGCCTCTCTAGGAGCAGTCTACACAAGAATGCATAGATAATCAACAAGAAAACGCTATGATTTTTCACTTTTGGAGTTTTTCCTTGAGCATCTCTTTCAAGGTTTCGGCATCTTCAGCAAACTTTCGGATTCCCTCGTGAGCTTGTCTCACGCCATCGTCTCGCTGAACAACGCTCATCTGAATGCGGCCTCGTCATC